GTGTGAGTGCGTGCGTTCGAAGTTGCGCGGAGTGGTGGCGCGGTGGATCAGAGCAGCGACCGCGGTTTTAAATCCTGGCGATGGATAACTTCAGGTGCAAGTGGTACTCTGAACTAAGCCTGGATCTCCCCCCTCCCCATGGTCAACTCAGCTTCAATTGAGTACCTGGTACAGAGTTGTGAAGTTCACAACGTAGAGGACAAAGGTGGCTGCGCGTGGTGCTCGCAGCACCACCCACTCGTGCGCCGTTGTTGCCCTTAAAATATTCTTGATCAATTGCGCTGAGCCCAACAGTCTGCATGGTTGTGCGGGATTTTTTTATTTTTGTTATTTTATCATTTCTAAGTAAGTTAACCGTGTGTGTGTGTGTTGTGATGTTTTTGAGTTACCTGGCCTGCAGAGAGACGCGTCAGTGTTTTCTCTCCTCCTCCTCCTCCTCCTCCCAATGGCTCCGCTGGCCTGCACTCTATGTGCTCTGCCTTGGTGGGTGGGGGTAAGTGCAGGTGGCTGTGTGCCCAGGACTAGCACACCGTGTACCCGTCCACCCTGGTGAGTTGCCTTCCATTTACAGCCTCTTTGGCGAGAGCTGAGAGACAGAGAGAAGAAAACGCAAAACGATTTTGATTGCCCACTTCAGATGCCCTAAGGCCTCCCCGGGAGAAACTTGGATCGAGCCCAGGGGCGGGTGCCACACCAACGCGAGCTACGGCTATGCCCCCTGGGTGCCGTGGATGCCTTTCCGTGAAGACGGTTGCCGCCCAATCACCCGCTCGCCACCCGTAGCGTTTGAATGGATCTGAGCCGAGCGAGCTCGGTGGCTTATTTTTTATTTGGTTGTTTCAGTAAAGCTGGCGGGTCGTTGGGTTCGTACGGTTCCACCTTCTCCTTGCTCTTGGCTGAGCCGTGCATTGTGGGGTAGGGTGATGTCGTCAACGAGCATAAAGCATCACGCGATCTCCGATCATCCTGCTGATGCGCTTCTGCGTCCGTCTGGAATGCTCTTTCTTCCGATAGTAGGAAGCCGCTGGAGCTGTGTACTATTTAAATCTAGATTTAGATCTGTTTTTTTTGCGTGTGTTTATTTCGTTGTCCTTCCCCCGTACTTCCGATTATCACGGTTGGCTCCGTACGGCGCGAAAGAAGTTCAATGTACGTACGTACAGAGTGCCGGACGGAACGGGTGCCAGGCGCCGCGTGGGCTACACGCCTGGGCACAGATGCGGTACACGCCACTGGCACGTATCCATGGGAACCTGTCCTGCTCTGTGCTCTCATTTGTGCATTCACGGTTCAGGCGGTTGCTTTTTTTTACTGCCTTCATTCCTTATTAGAAAAGTAGAAATATATTGGCGAGCGAGCAGAATATTGTGCCCAGGCGTCGTGGGTTTTTTCTTTACGGCGCGGCTTGCGTGCGGGACGTTGGGATGCGCGGGGGCCCGTGGTTTAATTGTGACGGATTGTGGGCCGCGTGTTTCCGCTCGGCGCATTTATTTCCGTGTGGAAACGACTCCTCGACGGATGATTTGGTTCAATCCGGCACGGCTCGACCTCCGAGCTCCGAGGCTCGGTGAGACCTCGTGGCAGTCACGGAGAGCTGGGTGGGCGAGTCGATTAGGTGCAAACAAATTGTCATGCCACTGCAGTGCTTATTTTGTGGTCGATTTGTCAGGCCTCTTTTAACGTTTCAGTCACCCCCACATCCTGCCTCAGCAAAGGCAGGAAACCCCCAATAGCCACGCCCAGCGTGACGCAGCTGACGAAGTCGATGGCATCGCCAAGCGCAGCCCATCGTCTCCTGTCCAGCGGCACACGTGGGAACAAAGGCGAACATTTTTTTATTGTCCAAATATTTTCGTGTTATCCGATCAATGGAGCGAAACCGGTGGTCGGTTACTCAAATAATCGGACAGCTCAGCTGTACGGTCGGGTCCCCAGGTACTCGCAGGGGGGCTTTGTGCAAGCACGCGGACACAAACCAACACACGCGCATCGCTAAGAAAGGGTTACGATTGGTTTCTTGTCACCCTTAGGGAGGGCCAAACTCTTCCCAACGGTGATCACTGAGCGCTCCGTCACGCAAAGTCACCGAGGCGCTCGTCGGCAGAAGATAAAGATGGCTATGGCGCACTGATGATTCCTAACAAAGGATGAGACCGGTAGAAAGTCGCCTCGTTGTCCTGCTTTTGTCGAAAATGATACGGCCACAATTGAGACTTTTTTTTTGAGTTGGTGGTCTTAACAAGGCTGTGCGCAATATACTCGTCGTATAGTGATGTCACGTAAGACGCAAGGCATGATGGGAGGACCGATCCGATGGTCACGATCGTGTCTCGTGCGGTCTCGAATTGGCCTATTGTGTACGTTGTTACGCTCACGCGTTGCATCGTTATTACACTTGACTTTACACAGAGGCTGAATGTATACAAACGACTCTTGGGTTACAGTTAGCACGAGTGAGCAAATGACTCTGCTCAGGTCTGTTTACTTGCGGATTTATCTTGCGTTGTCCTCGTGCGGAAAGCCATCGCTAACCCTCCCCACCCAGAGGATTAATTTATTGTGCCGCTCACCCACTTGTCCCCGCAAGTGGCCTGAAATTCCAGGAAAATCGACAGCACATACGTGAGATTGCGTCACTCGCAATCGCTCATGGTCAGTGCTGTCGTCTCTGAGTGACTAGGGGGAAAAAAAGTATATATGTGCGGTGACGTCATAATAATAACAATTCTATATTTGCTAAAGTGAATATAACGCACTAATTGCGATTGTATATTATTCTCCTGTATCAATTAGCGGTGTGTACATGAGAGCTTAATTTTAAATCGATGACCGCCGTGGCGTAAAAAAAAAGATAAGTTAGCGCCAATCATGATTTGTGAATGCGGCCCTCGCCCACTGCACCTCCGGTGTGGTTCAGCCACGTCCGACACGGTACACGGCGGGCAAGGCTGACCGACCACACGCTCGCTCAATCGCGTCGTGGGGGGGGGGGGGGAGGTGGGCAAATGATTAATACCGCCAGTACATCGACACTTTGTATTTCAAATGCTCCTCAATGGCAGCGTAGTTACGAGGCCCATTCACGGGGCGGCTTTGGGAGCGGAGAGAGTTCTAGCGAAAGCCATGGGCGGCGTCAGAGCGGCGTGCGCTTAGAGGGACGGCGGTGACGCCACGCTCACACGCGTCCGGGGTTCTTCGCTGGTAAGGGGGCCGCACCTGCGGTGGCCCATCCATCATGAGGGCCACTTGCACCCCCCACCCCCCCGTTCACTGGGAGGAAAGCGATGTTTTCTCAGCCTTCGGGCCGGGAGGGCAATGGGCAGATGAAATGCTGGGCTGACCTTTTCATTTGACCACATCTCAAACCGCCCCCCCCCCCCCGGCCTGACACACTCGCAGCTCGGTGTGAGAGGGAAACGCTCCCTTGTACACGGCCCGAGCTCAGCCCATGTGGCTGCTGCTGTTGCTGCTGCTACGCCTACGCGCATTCGTTATTGACGCGCTGCAAATTGATGCGGGGCATTGGCAGTCGTTGGGGTAAAAGACAAGTTCATCGACGTTCACGGCAGAAACTGCCGGCGGAGTGTTTGATATCCACAGGCAAAACAGAGCGGGTCTTGGTGTTGCGTCTCTCCAAAACACACCACCCCCCTCTCCCCTACCCCATGGCGTGTTTCCTCGGAGAACAAGGTTGGGATTTCTGGTGAACTTTGACCCAGGAGAGGCCGCGTCCCCCCACCGTGCAATCGAATCGAGCAAATCGTGATCGCTCATTGGTGGTCGCCTCGCCAAGTCCTAACCAGACCAGACCCCTCCTTGGCTTTTGAGATCTGTGGCCTGTAGCTGCGCTGCTACCGCTGACCGTCGGATTATCCACTTCATGTGGAATCACTCAGAGGAATCGCAGCCCCTCCCCCTCATCCCGCGAGCCCTTCCGCCCATGGGGGTGGCTTCCAGCGCCGCACACCGTGGGTGGCACCTGGGATGCATACAGACGCACCCGCCATGCTCCACTCACTGCCGGTGTGTGTGTGTGCGCGCGCACGGGTGTACATGTCTTGGTGGGTGTGTGTGCATGCATGGGCGTGCGTGCGCGTGCGTTTGTCATTTAAATGAGTCGCGTACACACACGCGTGGTGCTGGCCACCCACCCACTCCGGCTCGTGTGCCGTTCCGGCCTTCATTGGTGCTGCCCGCTAACAGCGCTCGCCCCAACAGTCTGTTAAGGCTAGACGGGGGATCTTTGCGCGTATGTGACTCAAATGAGTACCTGGTGTGGTGTGTAAACATTGCCACTAGCGAGACAAAGGCGGACGGTCCTGCTGCTCGCTATCTAACCCTCCTCGTGTGCCGTGCCGACCTTCATCGGCGCTCGCTAACAGCACTTGCGCCAACAGCCTGTTAAATGCAACCTTGGGGGGATCTTTGTCTCCGCATTTCGTTCTCCATCTCAGCCCCGTGCTGTGAGGTACAGTGGCATTGTTTTGGCTGCTCTGATGGCCTGGTTTTTCTTTCTCTTTTTTTTGCGCGGCGCAGTAATTAATTGTGCCGCACGCATTTACACCCAAGCGGCACCTTCGCCTGGAGTTGTGCTCCCCCTCTCTCTCTCTCTGTGCAGCGCGACCGATTCACGGGGACACGCGCAGCGAGCTGCCTGCCCTGCGTCTCCTCATTTTCCCTGGGGACGACGCGGGGGGGTGGGGGGAGACGGCGGCTCGCCGCTCGCGCCGATCCCCGCGCGGTTCGCCAACTCCGCCGGACGGAGATGGTGGGGGGGGGGGTGGTCGCGCAGATTCCGTTGGGGCCCCACGCTGGGCCCGAGCGGGCCAACGAGGGGAGGATGAGGTTGGGGAGGGAGGGGAGAGGGCGCTGGGAGCGATGGATGGGGTGGTGGGGGTTGGGGGGAGAGCTGCGTTAGTCTCGGTGGGGGTAGGAGAGAGGCTCTCCCCGCGGAATGGGATGCATCACTGACACGTGTTTCATCTTGTTTCATCCCCGAGGGATCGAGAGAGAAAACGCAGGCAGGTGAAGGGAGGAAATCGTGCTTTTGACCTCTGAATGCCAGACCGGGATCGTGGCGGACGGCTGGAGACGGACTATCAACCCCCACCGCTGCTGCAACAACAACGTTTCTCTGAGACGTCGCGCAGGTGAGCGGCGCGGGCCCACCTGCGCGAGGAGGCCGAGCGGCGTTTTACGCGGAGGATGGCGACGCGGGCCCAGGCGTGGCCGCCGCTGACGCATCGCGAGGATGATCGATGCTCGACTAACGGCACGGACGGGATCATTGGCCGCCAGCCAGAGCTGGCTGCTGACTTGAAGTCGCCAAACCGAGTGGAGCTGCGGAGCTCCGTGCCTAGTGGAGCTCTGTGCCTAGTGGAGCTCTGTGCCTAGTGGAGCTCTGTGCCTAGTGGAGCTCTGTGCCTGGTGGAGCTCTGTGGCTGGTGGAGCTCTGTGCCTAGTGGAGCTCTGTGCCTAGTGGAGCTCTGTGCCTGGTGGAGCTAGGAGCTCTGTGGCTAGTGGTGCTCTGTGCCTGTTGGAGCTCTGTGGCCAGTGGAGCTCTGTGCCTAGTGGAGCTGGGGAGCTCCGTGCCTAGTGGAGCTCTGTGGCTAGTGGAGCTCTGTGCCTGGTGGAGCTCTGTGCCTTGTGGAGCTGGGGAGCTCCGTGCCTAGTGGAGCTCTGTGGCTAGTGGAGCTCTGTGCCTGGTGGAGCTCTGTGCCTGGTGGAGCTGGGAGCTCTGTGCCTAGTGGAGCTCTGTGCCTGGTGAAGCTCTGTGCCTGGTGGAGCTCTGTGCCTAGTGGAGCTCTGTGCCTGGTGGAGCTCCGTGCCTGGTGGAGCTCTGTGCCTGGTGGAGCTCCGTGCCTGGTGGAGCTCCGTGCCTGGTGGAGCTCCGTGCCTGGTGGAGCTGCGCGTGACACGAACTCGTACGGCTGAACCCAAGCGGCAATCCCCGTCGCCGCACGGGACTCGAACTGTGTCGGCGGTGCCCTGGGGGCAGGCGGGCGGCCTCCCTCACGGCAATGATCCTGGAAGGAGCCCGGCGCCCTCCTCATCCCCCGTGTTCACAACTGCATCCACGGCGCGCGCCGCCCCCGGATGGATTCATCTGTCAGCGGCCCCGGACCTCATTTACCCCTTCTCGGTTGGCGCTCTTATTGCGTTTGTATGGATCGGAGCGTGGCGTATCAACCCCCCCCGCGCCACCGCGTGCCCGCCGTCAACCCCCCACCCCCCCTCCCCTTCCCGGGGGGGGGGGGGGGCACGGCGCGCCCCATTGTGTGCCTCCGCGCTCGACTTAAAAGCCGCCCATTTATCATCGGACATTTTTTCTGGTTTTGTTTTGTTTGACCTGCGAGGAGAAAGGTGATTTATACGGGGGGGGGGGGGGGGGTGGTGGTGGTGAGCGGGGGGGGGGGGTGGTGAGCGGGGGGGGGTCAGAGGTCGCAGAGGTGGGTGTCTGCACGGGGGGGGGGAGGGGGGAGTCTGTGAGGCTCCACAGCCGGGGCCCTGAGGAGACGGGGGTGGTTGCCGGGGCGGAGGCAGATGGACACCGGCACATGTGTCCGTTTATTTATTTATTATCACCGAGCACCAACATTGCCGGTCACTTATTGATCCCATTATTCCCCGCCTGTTCCCGGCGGCCTCTGCGCGTGTGATGTTCAACATTCTTCTGTTGTCCGCAATCGGGAGTCTGTTAGCCCCCCCCCCCCGCCCCATCGCCACCGCCAATGGCTTGAGACGTCTCTCTCTTCCCCCCTGGAACCTGCGATGAACCTGTAGTTTGAGAATTGCGTACAAGGACACACTGTCATCCTCAGTCGGCACACACAGCCACGGTTTGTGATTGCTTCGGGCTCAAGTCTTTCAAGTCTGGTACTGTTGAACGAGGTGTGAATTGAGAAGCCTCGATGGCTCTCATTTGCAAGAGTGACCTGGGGCGCGTTAGCCTGCCAGTAGGGAGCCGTGATTTTCTCCCCATGGTCGCGTGGATTTTTCTCCGGCCCCTCCGGTTTTTTTTTTCCCCTTCCCATTTCGAATCAACGTCCACGCGTTGAGGGTATTTGGCCGCGATACATTTCCGCGAGATAATCGGCCACTTCGTTGAGCAATCGTTTGTGGTGGCAAGGTCGCTTCGGAGAAAGAGATACGCAGCTCAGTGCGCCTTACCTGGTAAAATAAAGTGAAGTGAGCGTTCTGCTCTGTGTGCGCGCGATCCAACTCGAGTACATTTTGCGGTGTGATTTTTTAATTTGCCAAATTTTTTTGAGCCCGACGCCGGCACACGTTGGCCTCCTCTTGCACATGACGTCGCGGGTGAAGATTTAACGTCCGCTGTGATGCACACGGCCGCATATCGTTATTATCGTGGTTATTACACCCGCGGTAATAATCAGGACGGGTGCTGCTGGGTTTTAAGCCGTGAACCCCTGCGCTGCTGCAAGGCCACATCACCGATTGCTGCGGGCTCATGCTATATAGGGCCCCCCCCCACCCCACCCCACAGGAGATTTTTGCTTTATTATTATTGGGTTGGAGTATGGGAGTGCCACGTGCTGCGAGGTTCTCTATTTGTGGGGGCACAATCATCCCGTGTGTCGTGAATGTTTCGGTTTTGAATTGTTAATAAGCGCAGCCCTTTACCAAGGTTGCTGCTGAATGAAGGCCTCCCCGCGGGGCTCCGTACATTGGGGATTGTTTGATTATACTTCACCGCACTGGACAGGGCGGGTTGGCAAAAAAGGGGGCTGGCCGCGACAGGCTCAGATATCACTCGCCACTGGTGGTAGGCATGGCCCGGAATCAAACTAAAGTGGCTCGGGTTCGCAGTGGCGCTCAATGAATTTTTGACTGGAGGTGCATGTGAAGCCAACTCTGAAATTCACCTTGGTTTTTTGTTCATGGAATATTTAACCTGGAAGATGCCTTAAGAGAGAACATCTTGCTTGCTGAAGGTGTCCAGGGTTCAGGTGTGGGCGACCACGGTGGGGAGATGTTCACTACCTCTGCCTGGTCGTGGGCCCGATCCCGACCCTGACGCCTGCTGCTCTGTATTTGGAGTTTGCGTGTTCTCCCCGTGGTCGCGTGGATTTTTCTCCGCGTCCTCAGGTTTTTACCTCCACATTTATAAACATGCTTTGAGATTATTTGCCTGCTGTGAATGTCCACATGATAAGCCACTTTGTTGAGCTATCATTTGTGACCCGGTCGCACCTGATAACTATCTCTATAGCTCAGCGGGGCTCACCGAGTAAAATACAAATAGTTTAGTTTTAGGTCGAAGGTCATCCACATCACGGGCTAAGTAATCGAATTGCGTAGTTTCTCCTTCGTACAACTGATATTAGCCAAACATCCCAATGCTGCAAAGCTAGCCGCAAATTACTCAATAGAGATTATGCACGGCATCATAACCCCCCCTTACTGCGAAACAAACATTGGCAGGACCCTCCTGATAAAATAGTCTTGAGACTCTACTCGGTGAGGCTTAACTGAATAGACAAGTCTAGTAAGTCGCGTGGATTTCACCACATGCCACTGTGCCCGTGGTCATTTAACCATAGACGTTACAGAGATTGCGCCGTTTCTATGGCCCCTCCGCAGATGTATACCCCGCGAAATTCACAATTGTTAAACCATAGCGGATAAAGAGACTCTGCTGGGTGTCGCGTGCATAATGCGCTGTTCCACGAGCGCAATCGCCGCAGCGAACCTTCCCGCCCCATCTTACGTCGCTTCCAAAGGCCACTGTTATTGCCGGCCTCTGACCGCGCCTTAACGAATTGCAGCGGTGTACTCGGTTCTCCTCGCAGGTCAAACAAAACAAGAGCTGTGACGTGGGCCCGGTGGGGTCGGCCGTTACGCGCGGCACCAAACGAATCATCGTCGGTGTCGAGCCAATCGCAGCCGGGCCGCGCGGGCGCGGTGAGGCACGTGGCCCCGGCCCCATCGCCACGACGACGGCTTCCGAGCTGACGTGCGCATTGGTAAGGGAGCGCACGCTGTGTGTAATATGATGCAGGAGGCGCCAGTGGCCTTCTCCCCGTGCTCTGCCGGATTCAGTGTCACGCTCCGTTGGCGATTGGACCGAGTGCGAAGCACTCGCTTCAGAACATTTAGGTTTTTGGATTGTCACAGATGAATGCCTTTACCTAACGTACATTCTTGCGTATGTTTGTGCACAATATCAGCTTCGTCACCCTTTTTTTTTACGACATCGTTGGAACTCACTTCTGTCACCCACTCGTGAGAAACGCGGCGCCGAAATTAGGAAATCACGCTTTCGGATGCACGCCTTCCAGCCTCAACGAACAACGCCTAATCTTCGACGCACCTCCCCACGAGAGCACCCATCCGTACCGCTCACGTGCCCGGTGGCGAAAGCCGCTCGCCGCGGGGTTCGCTTCCCGCGGGGAGGGACGTCACGAGCCCGGCGAGCCCGGCGAGGCCGCGGGGCGCGCCGCCGCAACTCGCTTTTTTCCCCGCCCCCCCCCCCCCCCCCCCCCGCGTTGCCGCAACGCCTCCGGCCGCGACCCCGGCGTCGGCTCCCGTCAGTGTCGAGCGCGAGGAATGCTGATTGGATTGCCCTTCCGTTTTAGGCAATTGAGCGAAGTGGCGTCGTTTCCGGCGCGCCCCTGCGCATTAGCTCCGTGCTTAAGGCCAGGGTCACGCTGCGCCGGGGAGCGGTTTTGCGGACTCGGTGAAGCGTTTGTTCGCGGCGGAATTGCATCGGGCTCACGGCCGTAGCCCTTTCAGCGTGGGGAGCGGTTGGTGGAGCAGCGGTCCGCTGTGCTGCGCCACAAAACCGGCGACCTGAGTCAAATTCCCGCTCACGATTATTTGAATTGGTCCGGTGGCCTCCCTTCGACGGACTCAATTGGGTACCTGGTGCGATATGTAAATACCGCTAATGGGGAGACAAGGGCATGGTTGTGGCCACCCACCCCGTCGTGTGCCGTTCCAGCCTTCATAGGTGCTTAAGGGTATACAGGGGTCTTTGTCGTAACTTTTTTTGTATTGAGCCACCAGACGAGAACAGGAAGTGTACCCGGGGCCCCAAGCTCAGGGAGGGCCCCCCCCACCTCCCCCCCCCCCCCCCCACCTTCCCCCCCACCTTCCCCCCCCAAGAAAAATTACGTAAAATATTCAT